CAGTACAGTACAGATACTCTCAGTAGTCTATCTCAGTGCAGTATAGACACTCTCAGTACAGTACAGATACTCTCAGTAGTCTATCTCAGTGCAGTATAGACACTCTCAGTACAGTACAGATACTCTCAGTGCAGTACAGATACTCTCAGTAGTCTATCTCAGTGCAGTACAGATACTCTCAGTGCAGTATAGACACTCTCAGTACAGTAAAGATACTATCTCAGTACAGTACAGACACTCTCAGTACAGTATACTCTCAGTAGTCTATCTCAGTACAGTACACACTCTCAGTAGTCTCTCAGTGCAGTATAGACACTCTCAGTAGTCTCTCAGTGCAGTATAGACACTCTCAGTACAGTACAGATACTCTTAGTACAGTACAAACTCTCTCAGTAGTCTATCTCAGTGCAGTACAGTCTCTCTCAGTGTTGCAGCCAGCTGAGCACACTCGGAGGTCTCACAGGTAGAACAGCCAGCAGTGGCAGAGTGAGACTCGTGCGAATGATGTTCTACACATGGTGAGACCAGGACGCAACACAGGGAGAGAGAGAGAGGCAGGGTGACAAAGGCAGGAGAGGAAAGAGGGAGTGTGGATGACCGGCCATGTCCGATGGGCAGTCAGTCATTGTGTTAGTCAGTAATGGGACTCCGCTGTGTGTAAATCTGTGTCTGTGTGTAAGTCTCCAGATACCTACACACACCAACACACACACCGAGAGACCCACACACACACCGAGAGACACACACACTCAATTCAATTCAACACACACTCACACCAACACACCGAGACCCACACTCACACCAACACACAGTCAGACCTGTAGTCAGGATTAAAAAATTCCAGGATCCAATCTGAACACCAACATCCTGAACCCCCAAACCCCCACATCTTCCAGACACTGTGTGTCAATCTCAACAGAACCCCAACATCCATTCTTCTTTCACCCCTAAGGCCCTGGGTTGGTGACCCCTGACCACAGGCTCAGAATCACCACCGGATAAATTATAATGTCTGGGAGGGCGATGATGAGGAAAACGCTGAACGCAGGAGGAGAAGGAGCAGAAAGAAAGGGGAGAAAAGGAGGGAATCTTCAGGATAAAAGAAATCAGTTCTTTCGAGAAAGACCAACGGAACAGCACTGATCTCCAGTGGGACCGAAACAATCGGACAACAGCGGGATTACTGTGGAGCCAGGATTACGAAGAAAGAGATAGAGAGGAAGATAATCCAGTCGCCAATAGTGAACTTAAAATCCCTCCTTTTCCCCACTGATCCGTATATTAAACCGGGATTGAGCGGCGCTGGGTTTGTACACACCACTGGGGGGGTGACACTAGGGGGTACTGTGGCAGGCCAACTACATCTGTCCCTTAGTTGGGGCCCCACAGAGTGGGGAGGGGGGCGCTGAGGGGAACAGCTTACTCTTCTCTTTTAAAGAGAAGTGCCCTCTCATTTTCTTACCGTCTTTTGTTCAGCTCCCTACTCAGCCACCCCCCTCCCCCTGCAAGTTTCTCCTTTTCATTCTGTTTCTGATTTAACCCCTCTGTGCTTTCTCATCCCTCTCTCTCCATTCCTGCCTCCCTACATC